GAAATTTCTTTTGAGAGCCAAATTTTTTAAACTTAAACTATATAGGTAGGTACATTGTTATTAACTTAATTAGGGTCCTCCTAAGGCTTAGGAAGAGCCACACTCAAGGGACCAAAGAGCTGCATGTGGCTTGCGAGCCTCAGTTTGCCGACCACGGCCCTAGCCCATGCCATGCTTGGGGAAATGAGATCTAGTCCCTAAGGAAGTCTTGACCAGCCATCTGGGAAAAGCTACTTCCCAGCCATTGACCAGATGGTCCCGATGGACTTGGTGGGGAGAATGGGGCCCACCCTCAGGGCAGGCCTGGGCAAAGCCAATACCAGGGCAGTGTGCCAGCTTCCGCTTTCTTGAGGCACTCAAGGTTGCTCAAAGCTCCCTCCAATTAGGTGAAGCCCTTAGGTTGGATACCCAGGTGGACAGAAACAAGTCCCCACCTGGGTCCACTCACAGCTCTTCTGCTCAGAGTGGGAGTGTCAGGTGCAAAGCAAGCCAGGGGTGGAAACTGAATACCCAGAGCCCTCCTTTATGAGTTTAGTGCCATGTGTATGTGGCAGAAAGGGAGTATTCTGGAGCCGGACATGTTCAAAACTTGCCTCTGTGTCCTGTATTTCCTATATGATTTTAGGAAGGCTACTTCACATCTCTGAGCCTCGGCTATAGGGGGATAATAAAACTCACCTCAAAAGGTACTTGTGACAAGCACAGGGCCTGGCACATAGTAGATGCTCAATAAAACTGAGGCTGCTTTCCCACATCAGGCTGGTTCTGAGAATGCAGCTCAGCTGTTGCAGGAGGCCGCTCTCACCAGACCTGCACCTGGAGAGCTGCCTGTGTCTTTCCCACTTTATTCACTCTCGTGGAAGCACGTGGCATTTCTGCCTTGAATCTCCTCTTCCCTCCGGGAGCCCCATGGGGAAGGGCAGGGACGTACCTCCAGGATGGGGAGCCTGGTGTTGTGGAAGAAGGGCTGCAGCACCACAGAGAAGTCCTCCCGTGTGTCGTAGCGGCCTGACTCCACCAGCTCAAGCATGCTGCTCTGGGGACACACCCATGGGTGCCTTCAGCACAGGCCCTAGGTGGCCCAAGAGCCCACGGGGGCAAGGGTGGGCAGAGCTCCACCTCCCTGGGAAATGGGGGTGGTGGTGCTGCCTCAGCCCTTCCCTTGAGCTGAGCAGGCAAACACATTTGATTGCAAAGCTCTTTCCAGAGAATTGGAAACAGGTTGGGCCACCTTTTTGTTTTGCTTCTAAGTGAACTGCAAGCTCTGAAGGGCCAGGCAGAAAGTCCCACAAGGAATAGAAGCCTGGGAAGAGTCTCCAAAGAGCCCCTAGCCGCTCCACCTGTTGAGGAGGTGAGGGGGCAGCTGGGCCCCCAGGTGCAGGGGAGTGGGAGGGGGTCCCATGGGGCATCCAAGGCTTTTGTCCTCCTCAGGCCAAGCGTTGGGCCATGGGGCTTTGTCACCTAGACTCCTTTGGACCGACTCGAACCAGGTGCCTGAGACGCCTCAGCCAGGTGGGGCGGAGGAAGGGGCCTCGATGGTGAAGTCCCCCCTCAAACCCTGAACAGCTCTTCTCTCCCCTGTGTGCCTCCCTCCCCTTGGGGGCTCTGGGCTGGTGTGTTCAGTGAGTGTGGGGACAACACACCAAATGGTGCCTTCTTGTCTCACCTGGTAGGCTCTGGTGATGGCTTCCAACCTGGCCAGCTCCGGGGAGTTCTCCCGAGGGGTCAGCACGCAGTTACACAAAACGCTGTACAGAGAGGGGGGCAGGAGGGCCCGGAGCCGGGGCTCTGGTCAGGGGCGGGTTCCGCTGCACCAGCAGCTCACTGAGCCGGGGCTTAGGAGCACCTGTGCCTGAGGCTCTGACGCAGGTGCTGAGGGGCGGGTTTCAGGCCTGACCCAGGGACTGGATAAGGTCCCAAGGGTACATGGATGAGCACCTCTTGTAAGAATAGAGCACAAGTAGTGCTCTGCAGGAGCTGGGCCGGAAGCAAATGGATTTAGGCAATGACAGTGCAAGGTTTAATTTTTATAAAAATATGCCTCCTTTGGTATTGGGCCTCCCATGCTCAGGCCCTCAGACACCTCCTTAGCTGGCACTAGTGCCCAGTGTGTCGTTTATTTTGTCATGAATTATTTCATGCCCATAAAATGCACTTCATGTTATCAGCCCAGATGGCAGGTGCTGAGGGGCGGGTTTCAGGCCTGACCCAGGGACTGGATAAGGTCCCAAGGGTACATGGATGAGCACCTCTTGTAAGAATAGAGCACAAGTAGTGCTCTGCAGGCGCTGGGCCGGAAGCAAATGAGTTTAGGCAATGACAGTGCAAGGTTTAATTTTTATAACTAAAATATGCCTCCTTTGGTATTGGGCCTCCCATGCTCACGTGCTGAGGGGCGGGTTTCAGGCCTGACCCAGAGACTGGATAAGGTCCCAAGGGTACATGGATGAGCACCCTCTTGTAAGAATAGAGCACAAGTAGTGCTCTGCAGGAGCTGGGCCGGAAGCAAATGGATTTAGGCAATGACAGTGCAAGGTTTAATTTTTATAAAAATATGCCTCCTTTGGTATTGGGCCTCCCATGCTCAGGCCCTCAGACACCTCCTTAGCTGGCACTAGTGCCCAGTGTGTCGTTTATTTTGTCATGAATTATTTCATGCCCATAAAATGCACTTCATGTTATCAGCCCAGATGGC